CTCTGCCACAGAACTGCAGTCCCAGTCCGAGACGCCTTGCGCTGCACAATTACTAGTCTGTTGATGACACATCTGACAGACAAGGAACCGTGAGGACTAGACGCTACTAAAATACAAAACAAAAATGTTCTTTCTGAGCTCAGGGAAGCTCAAGGACTGCTCAGCTTCTAGTCAACCGATCCGCTGGCAATGCTCAACTGAGGAAAACAAGAGAGCTTGTTTCTCGTTGACAGAAAAATAAGCAACAGATCTTTAGAGCAAAGACAAGGACGTCTACACAGTAAAGAAAAGGGCAGGCAACTAAGGGCAGTGTCTGATGGAAGGCAGGTCTCCCATAGGAAGGTGAGGAAGCCCTACAACGCCAAGCATGAGAGCAGAGTCACTCTGCTGGGCACTTCGGGACATATGGGAGCCCCTGCTGCCCTGCAAGACAGTGAGGGGAAAATCTGTCTGTCCACTTTTTCATTCACTTTATTCATTTCACTAAAATGTCTGATGCTTCACAACTTACAGGAAATTCTTTAGGGGCTGTGCAAATCCACCATCTTTCTAGTTGGGCAAACATGGAGCCAAAGGAAGCAGAAATAACACATTTGGAGAGGAAACTTTTGTGAGTGGTTTGAAAATAAAATGCTAAAAGTAGAAAACTTAGGAATTCTCAAAATCAAAGAAGATACAGGGCAAAATTCAGCCTCTCCATTCCTGGAGCTCACGGGCATCGCCCACAGAGGAAAGAAGCGAGGGCCAAGTGCACTGTTCCTTGTGGGACACAATCATGGCTTCAACCACCTAGGCTTCCAGGGACCCTTGAGTCTCGCATCTGCTTTGTCCAAGCAGAGGGCCCTCCTGACAGTTCTACAGGCAGAGGCTCCAAGTGAAGCCTGAGTTTGATTCCTGGGTCCCACGGTGAAAGGAGAAGACCAGCTCGCACAAACTGCCCTATGTGTACCATGCCACAGGAGTGCCTACATACAACAACCAACAACTAGAGAAACTGATATTAAAACTGAAAGAAGAGATGGACGTGGTGTACATGCCTTTAATCCTGATACTCAGGAGGCAGAGGCAGGCAGATCTCTGCGAGTTCCAGGCCAGCCTGGTCTACAGAGTGAGTTCCAGGACAGTCAGGGCTACACAGAGAAACTCTTTCTCTAAACAAACAAAAAGAAAACAAAGAGAAAAAGAAGTCAAAGGAAACCCAAAGACTCCAATACAGAGCTTTTACTAAATTCTAATTAGTAGGGGAAAAAATTTCAGGATGAGCCAGGCATGGTGGCACACACCTTTGATCTCAGCACTTGGGAGGCAAAGGAAGGAGTCTTGTGAGTTTGAGGCTAGCCTGGTCTACTTACTGAGTTCTAGCTATCCGGAACTACATAGAAAGACCTTGTCAAAAGAAAGGAAGAAAGAAAGAAAGAAAGAAAGAAAGAAAGAAAGAGAGAAAGAGAGAGAGAAAGGGAGGAGAGGGGAGGGGGAAGCAAGAAGGAAGGAAGGAGAAAATCAAATGAAAGTTAAAATTTCAGAGGAGCAAGATAGTTCACCTGCAGTCCCCAACATTTATGAGGCTGAAACAAGAGAATCATCCTGAGTGCAAGAACAGCCTGGACTATGTTACATAACAAGACCCTGTCTCAAAAATAAAATGATACTAATAGAAATTAAAAAAAAAAAAACAACCAACCACTGAAAGCCCGTAAGTTTTGGCCACAGCAAGTGAGCAAGGAGCCTCCTCCCTTTGGCTACCTTCCACTACCGTAAGGTACTACGCTGGCTGCTGGGGAAGAGGCCATCTGCAGTCTCACCTATGCACACCACTGACATGCTAGGCATGAAGTGTCAACCAGCACACAACTGGCATGACCATCAAGGAGCTAACCAACCATTCACTGGTTGGATGTGATGCCCAGTCCACAGGAGCTACTGTGACCCTGGTCAGAAGCCTGTGCCAGGGGAGGTCACAGGCCCTAGTGAAGCCACTGCTGAGGATTTGGTAATGAACCTGGGAAACTGCCTTCTAGAGTTATATTTATGCCTAGTGACTGGCAGCTTTGGTCAATGAAACCTCTTTTTGCAGTGGCAGTGACTCACAGCTGTTCAAAGTGCTGAGAACCAGTGACCACTGAACACTCAGCCCTAACTGGGACATCTACGTCCCCTCCCTCCAAAGGTTCAAGGAAGGAGATCTGGGGCAGGAGGAAGGGGCAGCGTGATGGAAATCCCTGCCTTCTGGACATGACATGGCCTTGAACTCAGAGTCACAGCAGCTATGATTACTTGAGCAAGACTAGGCCTGTCACCACTTCCTTGTGGATCTGACCTACTCACAAGTCCCCAGCCCTCCCTGACCTATAAGGTTCTTCAGTGGAGAAGCCCTGGTAAGCTGCCCATGCTCCCCTGAACTACCTCCCACCCATGTTCCTGTAAGTAGCGCAGTGTAGAGCACTGGGCAAGCGCATGCACAAACCTAGGTTCAGGCCCCTGTGTAATAGCAGCTATGTACAAGCAAAGCCAAAGCAGGTGTGCTGGCTCATCCTGCCCTCCCAGTACTTGCAGCATTTGGGATGCAAAAGCAGAGGCAGAGGCAGAGACGGGTGGGGGTCTCTGAGCTCCAGGCCAACCAATGCTACACAGTGACATGGTGACTCAAATAAAAACCAACTAGGAGGTTAACAGTCAGCAGTGATGAAAAGCATCTGCAACATTCTCTTGCAAAACAGAGGGACAAGGGGACAAAGATGGCTCAGTGATGGAGGGGACTGGCTGCTCCTCCAAAGGACCAGGGTTTGGTTCCCAGCATCCACATGGTGGCTCACAATCCTTAGTAACTTCAGTTCCAGGAGATCTGATGCACTCTTCCGGACTTTGCAGGAATTAGACACATATGTGATACATATACATACACCCAGAAAAACACACACACACACAAAATAAAAATAAATAAAAAACAGCAGAGACATATTTCAAAGTATATTCAGCCAAAATAACCTGATACATAGCAAAACCCAGACAATACCAACCATGTAGTACAGGCAGGTGGCTCCATGCTCGGTACAGATGCCAAAGAGTGGCTACCCAATATAAACTTTAGATAATCTTTACCATCTAAGTTCAAGGCTAGCCTGGACTACAAAGTGAGATCCTGTCTCAAAAAAAAAAAAAAAAAAAAAAAAAAAAACAAAAAACAAAAAACAAAACCCACAAAGATTTGTAGCATCTGATGAGATAATCACTGAGGTACCAAGAGACATCATGAAGGGTTCCAGAAAAGGGAAGAACCAGAGTGCCATAGCACAAAGTTGAACAGAAAACTTCTCAAGGACACAGAAGAAGTCCATTTCAACAAAAGTTGGAATTTGACTCAGTGGGAATGACTCTCAGATAGGCAGGACTAAGCACAGGAGAGTGGCTGGGACAGAAATCTACAGAGATAACTGACATCACTGAGTGACTCTCAGGTCCAAGCTACCAAAACTCCCTTTCCTCAAATCCCTGGCCAAACCCGGGCTCTAACCCCACCACACTGAAAATGCACTGTGGCACACAAACACTAGCTCTTTTTTTTTTTTTTTTTTTTAAATTAGACCTGGCTTCCACACAGAAATGATCTGTGTAAGTAAATAGTATCCACTCTCCTTTCTATATTTGAGAACACACAGATACATCCTTAGAATTTCTTAGGTTGAGCACTAGGGATGTATCAGGTACATCTGAAATTTCCTACTAAATGAATTGCTGTCATTTTGTTTTGAGACAGGGTCCATGGTGGTTTGAATGAGAATGGCCCCCATAAGATCATATGTGAACATTTGGTCCCGGGTTGGTGGAACTGTTTGGGAAGGATTAGGGGTGTGGCCTTGTTGGAGGAAGTGTGCCGCTAGGGTCAGGTTTTGAGGGTTTGGAAGCCACTCCCAATTATCACTCTACCTCTAATCTCCAGTGTCAATGTCTGTTTGTCTCTCTGACTCTTTCTCTCTCTCTCTCTCTCTCTTCCTCCCTCCCTCTCTGCCTTGTTATGTCTTAAGATGTGAGCTCTCAGCTACCACTCCAGCACCATGACTGCCTGCCTTCCGCCATGCCCCACACCATGATGACCCTAACCTCTGAAACTGTGAGCCCCTAATAAACTCTTTCTTCTAGAAGTTGCTTTGATTCAATGTCTTGTCACAGCAATAGAAAAGTAACTAAGACAGGATCTCATGTAGCCCTGGCTGGCCTTAAACTCAGGAAACCAGTCTGCCTCTACCTCCTAAGTGCTGGCGTTTTTTCTTTTAAATTAATTTATTCGTATTCATGTGTATGTGCCTGCCACAGAGGTATCCTCAGAAGCCAGAACAGGGCAACCAATCTCCCGAGACTGGAGTTATAGGCTGTTGTGAACCACCACATGGGTGGTAGGATGTGCTAACCCTGTTCCTCTGGGAGTTCAAGAAACACTCTTAACCACTGAGCCATCTTTCTGATCAAAATGACTTATCATTGGAAAAGTTCTCCTAGAGGATGACGACACATGCCTATGGTCCTAGCAGTGGTAAGAGAATCAGGAGGTCAAGGGCAGCCTCAGCTATCAGTAGGTTCCAGGTCAGCATGGGCTAGAAGGGACTACCTTAAACAAACAAAATTCCTAGTAACTTATGGCCTGTTGCAGCAGTTTTAGAGCTTGGGGTCTTTCAGCATCTCCAGCCGTACTTCCTGGAAAGGAACAGCAGGAAGGCAGTAGGTGGTCCTCACCTTCAATCACAGCAAGGGCAAGGCAGAGGCAAGTGCATCTCTGAGTTGAGACAAGCATAAGCTACACAGACAGACAGACATATAGCAAGACTCCACCTCTACAATAACAACAAAAAAAAGGGATGAAGATGCCCAAAGGTCCCCCAACTTCTACACACAAGAGAAACCATAGAAGTCGCAGTCCTTGGGTAACTGACTGGGTAAACCAGAGCTAACTTAGGGCCCCTGGCCGCTTTAAGATAAACTGATAAACAAGGTAAAAGCAGACTCACTCTTTTCGATGAGCTGGTCCTGAACCCCTGCCAAGGCACTTACTGCCTAAAAGAGAAGTCACTGGTTACCAGACAAGAGACCATAGACCCCAAGACACCAACCCGCAGAAAGGAAGGGAAAGTCCACACTCCTCAATAAAGGGCCTCAGACAGACACACCCTCCACCACCGCCACTTACAGCAGCCGACGTGACTGAGGATTTGCTGAAGAGCCGCTCGGCCTCCTTGAACTTCCGGTTCCTCCGGTCGTTTTTGCTATTGGAGTTTCTAAAAACAGAAGAATTTTGTTGTTGTTGTTGTTATAGATTTTTATATCTTATAGATTCTCACTGTGTTTTTGTCTGAGGTGGAGGGAGGACACACACGTGCTCCAGTACATTTCTGGAGGTCAGAAGATGACTTTATGGTCAGTTCTCTCCTGCTACCTCCAGGGAATGAACTCAGGTAATCAGGCTTTGTAGAAAGCACCTTTACCTGCTGAGCCATCTGGCCATTCTTCTTTGAACCAGGTTCAAATTCAGGAATGTCTCTGATGCACATAACTCTATGTCAAATGCCTACAAACGGGAACACCTCCCACTTTGGGAGGTGAGATGATTTTAGTTGCTTTATAAACACCGGCAAGTGTATTTCTTCGCCTTTAAGACGCCCAGGAGCCACAGGGACACAGCCATGTCTTGCCTGGCATGAGGACACCAACCAGCATTATCACGTAAGCAGTATCCAGCCTGCCCAACTCAGTCCCACTCCATACTCTGCGTTGGTGTGCGTTTACGATAATGCTTATTGTCATTGTCAGAAGAAACTAGTGCAGGGGCTGACAAGACGGTAATGGGCGCTTGCTGCAAAGCTGGACAATCCCAATTCAATCCTCAGCCCAGGTAAAGGTGAAAGAAAGGACCAGTCCACATAGCCATCCTCTGAGCCATACAGTGGCACACATATACCCCAACACACATTATATATATCTTGAAAAACAAAACAAACAAACAAACAATGTGGATCTCTGTGAGTCAGAAGCCAGCCTGGTCTATACAGAGAAACCTTGTCTCCAAACAAACAAAAACCCAACAACAGCAAAATATTCATGAGACATAACTGCCGAAAGCAACTGGATCCAGGATCAAAAAAGAGTAGCAAAGCATTGTGGGGCCAACCGAGGGAATCTGAAGGAATCTGTGTTAACGTTTAAGCTATGAGCATCTGAGTTACGTGCAGAGATGCCTTGTTCTTCTCAAGAAGTAACTGTTGATATATGTAGATGCAGAGATTCGTGGTGTAAGCGTCTAACTCTTCAACGGTTAGCAGGGAGAGAATGCACAGGGAAACAGACACGTAACCACAGAGGAGGAGCAGGGAGGAGACCCTGTGATGGCGGAATGGGTCTGCATCTTTATACATACACTAATCAGAGGGCAGCTCTCCACCATTGGCCCTTGCTTTCTACCTTGTTGAGGCAGAGGCAATCTTGTTTGGATAGCACTGCATAGTTCAGGTTAGCTGGCCTACAAGCTTCCAAGTGATTTTCCTGTCCCCACCTCCCACCACATGTGCTAAAATTCCAGATGTGCATTAACACATGTGTGTTAAATTGGGGTGGATTGGGGAGGGGGGTTTCCTGAAAGTACAGTAGACAGAGGCTGATCCCTTGGGACTGTGTTGCAGGTAGTTGTAAGGTACTGGGAATCGAACTCCTGTCTGTCCTCTGCCAGAGCAGTATGTGCTCTTAATGGCTAAGCCATCTGCCAGATGTGCACCTATTAGAACACAGGTTCTGGGAACTGAGCTCAGGTCATCAGGCTTTGAACACCAAGTGCTTTCACTCGCTAAGCAATGTCTCCTGGGTCTAGTTTTACACCCTATAGTTATACACATACGATAAAATGCCATACACCTATACTCGCACATTAAGCCAATCTTGGATTCCTGATTTTGATGATATTCTATAGTTACGAAAAATGTAACTGTCAGGACTGTGTAAGAACATACAAGCCCTGTCTATTGTCTCTGCAGCTTCCTATCTCAATCTGCAATTATTTCAAAACAAAAGGTTCTTAAGCGTGCATAGACGTCTTCATACATGGGAGAGAGCATGCACCCACAGTTAGCTAGCAACTCACGAATACATGGGAACAATACTACCTGGTCATGCACTATCTCATTTCAGTTTTTCTACAGATTTGAAATTTTTCTTACAAGTTTAGAGATTTTTATAGAATCGCATTACCGAGTCAACAGTGGTACAATTAATTAGCTTAGAGGTATGACAAAGATCGTAACTGGATATCGTGGTTGATTAAAATGTGGAAGACAGTTAAGTCACATGCTGTATCTCATTTACACCTACACACCCCTGCACCATAGGCCCTATTTTCTTTAATCACAAATATGGGCTTTTCCAAGGTTTTTCCGTGAAACAGTGGGAATGCAAGTTCAAGTTTAGACCTCACTCTACACTATGGCTCTATCATCTCCCTGCAGAGGAAATACCAAAGCAAACACCCCAAGCTGTACATGACAGTCCATACCTTTAAATCCATCAGGAGGTAGAGGGAGAAAGAGCTATGTGGTCTGTGAATCTGAGGCCAGCCTGGTCTACTTAGTGAGTTCCAGGCCAGCCAGGGCTTCATAGTAAGGTCATGTTATAAAACAAAAACCCTACAGATAAATATTAGTAGAGGATAAAACGGACAGATCTATTAGATTTTGACACTCACTTTTGATTGGTCAAATACCGATCCCAGCCACGGATAATATTGCCATACATCTGAGTGTCTTCCAGGTAGCTTCCTTCAAAAGCATAGATCTGTCTCTCCAAGTTTGCAAGTGTTTCCTAGGTGATGAAAACAGGGAAAGGGAAAAGCAAGCATTAAGCAGACTGAAATCTGGATACAGACTTGTAATGTCAAGCTTACCCACAATGAACTGTTTTTGTGGGAAAGTGGGAATAATGGACCCCTTTATAAATAGAATGGAATGTGTAGTCTATCCTCAGAAAATGCACACACATGCAAGATTTTGCATCTACTTCAGAGGCAAAACCTAGCTGTCATGAGCAGGGATGAGACAGACCGTGAGCTGTCTCCATTCTCACTCACTAAATGTGTTGCTACCAGCAGCGAGAAGGGTGAACAGCTTTTCACAAGCATCTCTTCTACATCAACTGCTTCCTCCCTGCTAGTTCTGGAAGGGCCGCCCGCAGTGGATGCCGGTTGCTATGGAAACCTGGAAGGGCAGCTTCAGGTGAGCTTTGCCTCCCGGATGCTCTTTGCAAAAGGCGGGAGCCTGGAGGGCTCAGTCAGCAGGGTGCCGGCGGCTCTTGGTGCGCGTCACCAATCCAAATTCCCTAGGCTGCGTCCTGCGTCTCCCGCCAGCCCTTTTCCTTGGCATCCTCAAAATACACCTCATTCCCTGGCCATTGAAACGCGCCGCCCATGGAATCCATCGTGCATCTTCTCCAGGCCAGGGTCTAGCCTCCTCCTTCCCACCCGCTAACCCGACCTGAGCGTCGTCCCCGCCTCCTGCCTCTCGCCCTTCCCGCGCCCTCACCGCCCCGCCCCGCCCCACTGAGCGCAGGCCGGGAACCGCGCCGCCGCAGGGAACCGCGCCGCGCCCGGCCGCCCAGAGCGCCCGGACCCTGGTTGCCCGCCGTCTTCGCCTCCGGAGCTGCCTGCGAGTACATGCGGGGACGGCGTCCAGGCCTCGGCCACTCACCGCCAGCTCCTGCTTCCGCTTCACCAGCTCGGCCAGCTCCCGCCGGGTGTCTGGGATCTGCGGCGGCGCCGTCTTGTTGTGCATCGCCATGTTGGGCTCAAGCGGCGGCGGAGGCGGCGGCGCGCGACCAGTAGGCGGACCCTGCGCACTGCCGCCGCCGGCCGCCAGGGGGCGCGCCCCCCATCGCGCCTGCGCGCGCGGCTTCCGGGGAAGCTGGCCGGCTCAGCGCGCGAAAGCCGGCGCGCAGTGGCGGTGATTCGTGTTGGACACTCCTTGCTGCTCCACTGTGGCCCTCTGAGCTTAACAGATACCCACAGACATTCACTGTATCGAGAACCCAGCTGCGGCATAGGCCTGTTAAATATCCCATGTGTCTCCCCGCAGACGATGTCCTTACCACACCACCCAACTGCAGGTGGAAAACCCCAGCAAGGTTCCGCCCCCCCCATCCGGGCTGCAGAGAAGATCTCAAAACCAATATTTTCCTGGGTTTAGCACCGGCAAGCTGATCTCCTGTTGTATGTAGTTTGCCGGAGGGGAAGAATTACGAAAGAATTAGCTTTTATCTTAAGATCCAGAACTGTATCCAGGCTGGTATTGAACAGAAACTCAGACCTTGAGTTTATCGTCCAGCCTTTGCCTTCCCACTGCTGGGATTGCACGTGTTGAACATGCCCACTGTTAATTGGTGCTGGAGATGGAACTCAGAACAGACGAAGCAAGCACTCTACCGCTACACCCCCAGCCCAGCTCTGCAACTTCACAGAGAGTCTAGGTGGCATTCTTTGCCCCATGTGTGGAAGTCTGAGTTTCTATGCCCTAGGTGGATATTGTTCAAAGGTCTGAGAAATTCTCAATTTTCTTCAAATCCTCTTTCCTAATCTTCTCTCTCACAAACCTCTCCAACCCCCTCATGTTCGTCTCCAATAGTACATCCTATAATTCTAGCACCTGAGAGGCAGAGGGAAGAGAAGCAGGAAAGTCAAGGTACTGCATAGTGTTTGGGACACCCTGGGCTAAATAAGGCCCAGTTTCACGAGAAAAAAAAGAAAGTCACCTGGCAGTGGTGGCACACGCCTTTAATCCCAACACTTGGGAGGCAGAGTTCGAAGCCAGCCTGGTCTACAGAGTGAGTTCCAGGACAGCTAGGGCTACACAGAGAAACCCTGTCTCGAAAAACAAAAAAAGAAAGAAAGAAAGAAAGAAAGAAAGAAAGAAAGAAAGAAAGAAAGAAAGAAAGAAAGAAAGAAAGAAAAGTCAGCAGGGCGGTGGTAGTGCACGCCTTTAATCCCAGTACTCAGGAGGCAGAGGCAGGCAGATTTCTGAGTTCGAGAGTTCAAGGCTAGCGTGGTCTACAGAGTGAGTTCCAGGACAGCCAGGGCTACACGGAGAAACCCTGTCTTGAAAAACAAAAACAAAAAAAAAAAGAAAGAAAGAAAGAAAGAAAGAAAGAAAGAAAGAAAGGAAGGAAGGAAGGAAGGAAGAAGTCAAGGGCTGTAGATAGAACTCGTTGGTAAAATGTCTATCTAAGCCTAAGCTTACACAAATCCCTGATTTTGAGTCTAGCACCCTTTCCTGTCCTGCCAGCTTGGCCCACATAACTTCCCAGGGCCAAGCAGGGTGGCATAGGCCTTTATTTTCAGCACTCAAGAGACAAAGGGCAAGCAGATCTCTGTGATTTCGAAGACAGCCAGAGCTACAGAGTTTTGAGGAAAAAAAAAATCAAGGCCAGCCTCAACTACATAGAGAATCTGAGGCTAGCCTGGGCTAAAAAAAAAAAAATAACAATCAGACCTTGGAAATTTTTATTTTTATGTATATGAGTGTTTTGCCTGCATGTATGTCTGTACCATAGGCATGTAATTCCCAAGAAAACCAGAAGGCATCAGATCCTCCTGGGACTGGAAGAACAATTGTGAGCTGCCATGTGGGTGCTGAAGATTGAATCAGGGTTCTGGAGAAGAGCTCTAAGCCATTATCTCTCCAGCACCCCCACCCCTTTTAATGACCAACTCTCAATTTGAAGTGCCCATACACTTACAGATATGGGGTCATCCAATGGAATGTGATCAGCCTACTGGGGCCCACACCTGAAAGCTGACTCTTCCCCCTCTGGAGTCATCCACTGTTGATAGCTTCTTAGCTAGGGTTGGAGGCTTGGGAGCCTCTCGCTCCTACATGCTGGAAAACTGACTGGCTTGATCTTAGGCCAATCCGTTGTAGGCAGCTACAGCTACTGGGCTCCTAAATACAGCAGCCCTGTCCTGATGTGATTGCAAGTATTAGGATTAGAGTTGGGTTTACGAGTTGATAAATTTGAAATATAACGGACAGGGGGGCAATTTTTGGTCATGTAAGAAGACTCAGTCCTGTATGTAGTAGGATTCCTTGTATTACTTCAGGAAGTCAGTAGTGGAATGGGGCTAGGGCAAGTTTTATTGATAACGAGATTAGTGTTATGTTAAGTAAAATGCTGCTTGTTTGTTGTTGAAATTTCATATTCCTAGTTTTTTATAATTGAGAACGATATCGAGCAAAATAAATTTTATTTTGTTTTTTGTTTTTCGAGACAGGGTTTCTGTATAGTCCTGGCTGTCCTGGAACTCACTCTGTAGACCAGGCTGGCCTCGAACTCAGAAATCCACCTGCCTCTGCCTCCTGAATGCTGGGATTAAAGGCGTGCACCACCACTGCCCGGCCACAAAATAATTATTGAGGCTGTTGCTTGTGTAATAAAATATTTTGTTGTGGCTTCAGTTGATCATGGGGGTTTTTTTGGTTAATTAATAGTGGAATAATTGCTAGGAGGCTTATTTCTAAGCCTACTCATATTAGTATTAGGTTGGTGCTAGATATCGTAATTATGGGGCCCGTAAAGACAGTAAACAGTGATGATGGTGATAGGATTTATTAGTACAGGAAGAATTTAAACCAATGTTTTCAGGGTATGGGCCCGATAGCTTAATTAGCTGACCTTACTATATTAGGATAGGGTGTATAGGTACCACGGAGAATTTTGAATTCTTTTTTTTTTTTTTTTGGTTTTTTGAGACAAGAATTTTGAATTCTTAAGAGTAGATTCAACTCCTATTATCCCAGAAATAAGAGAATTTAAACCTCTACAATTTACTCTATCAAAGTAACTCTTTTATCAGACATATTTCTACACATAGGGTGGAATGCTTGCTAGGAAAATTGGTAGTGAAATGTGTCATATACAGAATGCTAGGGTTAGTGGAAAAAGTTTTTTCATAAGAGATGTATGAGTTGGTCATAACAGAATCGTGGGTATGGTGCTCGAATTCATAAAAATGTTGATAAAAATAGTGTTTCTGTTATGAAATTAATTGAGTAAAGTTCAGGGAAGCTAATGTTGTGAAGTAGGCCTAGGAAGATAATGGCTGTTAGGACATTTATTAAGATAATGTTAGTATATTTGGCTATGAAGAATAGTGCGAATGGACCAGCGGCATATTCAACGTTGAAGCCTGAGACGAGTTCCGATTCTCCTTCTGTTAAGTTGAATGGGGCACGGTTTGTTTCTGCTAGGGTTGAGATAAATCATATAGCTATTGATCAGGCTGGAATAATTAACCATATCTGTTCTTGGGTAGTGATGAATATTTGTAAAGAGAATAAGCTGCTTATTAATAGAACTGAGAGCCAGGCAGTGGTGGCACACGCCTTTAATCCCAGCACTTAGGAGGCAGAGTTCATGGCCAGCCTGGTCTACAGAGTGAGTGCCAGGATAGCCAGGGCTACACAGAGAAACCCTGTCTTGAAAAAACCAAAAAAAACAAAAACAAAAAAAAAAAAACCTGAGAGTAGGATGATGGCCATTGTTACTTTGTAGGAAATTGTCTGGGCAACTGCTCGTAATGCACCAAATAGGGAATATTTTGAGTTGGAAACTCATCCAGACCATAGAGTAGAGTATACTGAAAGGCTCGATGTTGCTAGGATGAATAGAATCCCTAGATTAATTTAATTTAATTTAATTTAGGGTTATTGGTAATGGAATTCATAGACTTAGGGCAAGGGAAAACGATAGAGTTGGTGCAATAATGAATAATGATATTGAGGTTGTTAAAGGCATATTGGTTCTTTTATAAATAGTCTTATAGCATCTGCAAATGGTTGTAGAATTCCATATGGACCTACAGTGTTGCGGCCCTTTCGTAATTGTATGGACCCTAGAATTTTTCGTTCTGCTAGAGTTAAGAAAGCTATAGATAAGCTGGGCGGTGGTGGCGCACACCTTTAATCCCAGCACTTGGGAGGCAGAGGCAGGTGGATTTCTGAGTTCGAGGCCATCCTGGTCTACAGAGTGAGTTCCAGGACAGCCAGGGCTACACAGAGAAACCCTGTCTCGAAAAAAAAAAGATTTATATTTATAAATTAAGTTGAGAGCGCTTTTGGTAAGGTGGCTCTATTTCTCTTGTCCTTTCATACTGAGAGACACTGTAAACAGCTCTTAGTCTGGAATGGCCCCTGAGCCTTATAGTGGTCGTAGGGATAAAGATGTCGAATTTGTGGCTCAGTGTTGTCAGCTTTAAAAAAAAAAAATACATCCTTTTTCAGAGTTTTTATTTTACGCTTTGTTTGCAAGTGTCTGTACCATGGTACCAGTGGAAGCCAGAGAGGGTGCCAGATTCCCCTGGAACTGGAGTTACAGTTGTAAGCCAACATGTGGGTGCTAGGAATAGAACCTGTGGCTCCTACAATCATAGCCCCTCTTTCAGATAACATGGTGGATAACATGGATTGACTTTCAAATGTAGCAGCTTTGAGTGTCAGGAATAACTGTCTTGGGCATCTTGTTTATTTTTGTGTAATATTGAACTCAGTGGACACCTCTCTCTACATATGTCTCTTCCTTATTTTGCTGGGTATTAATTTGCTAATTTTAAATGTACTTTTTAACACTTGTGTTCAGTGCTTAGCCTGTCAGAGCACAGGTGTGAAGGTCAGAGGCCAATTTGCAGGGGTCAGTTCCTTCCTTCCATCACCTGGGTTCTGGGGATTACACTCATCCGGCTTCATTCATACCGAGTGCTTTACCTGCTGAACCGTCGCACCTGACCTCCTTGGCTCCAGTTTTCATTATTTTAAATATGTATTAATTTTCATGTGTAAAGGTGTTTTGCCTACATATATGTCTGCGCACATGCTTGTAGTGCCCTCAGAGGTCAAGAGAGGGTGCTGGATGCCCTGGAACTGGAGTTAAGTCGTTTTGATATTTTACAGAGAGGTGGGTTAACGGCTAAAGAGCACTGGCTGCTCTTCCAGGGGACCCTGGTTCAATTATCAGGACCCACACAGTAACTCACAATTTTGTGTAACTATAGTTCAGGGGACCTGACTTCCTCTTCTAGCCTCCTAGCTACCAGGGATACATGAGATGCAGACACATATGCAGCCAAAACATGCATATACACAAAATTAATCTTTTTAATTAAAAAGAACATGGGAAGATGGTTCATCAGTTAAAAATGCTTGTGGTTCTTGCAGAGGACCTGCATTAAACTGCCAGCCACCCACATGGTGGTTCGCAACTGTCTATAACCAGTGTATCTGGCATCATATTCTGGTCTCTACAGGTACCAGGCATACACAGGGTACACAGATATACATGCAGGTAAAACACACACACACACACACACACACACACACACACCACACAGTTGTATGTGACTTCCACTGTTTTGTATCTCAGCTCTCTCATTTGCAAAAGTCAAATCCTGCTTAGCTGAGCATAGGGAGTTCAGGTAAGAGGTAGTACATGTTTAAAGTACTTCGAATTTTATTTTCTTAGAAAGTGCTTGTAATGGTTTGTATACACTCTACCCAGGGAGTGGCACTATTAGGAAGTGTGGCCTTGTTGGAGTAGGTGTGTCACTGTGGGCATGGGCTTAAGACCCTCATCCTAGCTGCCTGGAAGTCAGTCTTCCACTAGCAGCCTTCAGATGAAGATGTGGAGTTCTCAGCTCCTTCTGCAGCGTGCCTGCCTGGATGCTGCCATGCTTTCTCCTTGATGATAATGGACCGAACCACTGAACCTGTTAGCCAGCCCCAATTAAATGTTGTCCTTTTAAGAGTTGCCTTGGCCATGTGGCGTCTGTTCACAGTAATAAAATCCTAAGACAGTGCTCTTATAGACCAACATTTCTGTGCGGTTGTTAAGGCTCTTTAGAAATTGAAACATTCCATCCCTCTGGGAAGCTCAAGCAGAAAGATAAACAAATCAAAATAGCCTTTGGAAGTCCCTGAAACTGAGCAGACTCACTTGGCCCTCCTTGCCAGAGTAAACAAAAAGGTAAACACATGAGCTGAGAATCCTCTTGGAGGAAGGGAACCTGAGCAGCAAAGACCCAGAGACCAGGCCAGCTGCCCGGAAGAGGGTTAGACCAACTGAGGCACCTGGAAAGGACACTCTCCAACCTGCTGAGCTCCCTGCAGGCTGTGCAGTGTGCACAGCCCTTGAGAGTTGTCACCCATGGGCTTTGGTGATGCAGCTGTCTGAGTCATTTCTGCTCCGGCAAGTAAACCCAATAAAACTCATTGGTTCACCAAGTTGGACTTTGGTCTGTTGTAGGATCCCTGTCTGGGGTGAGCAGCCATGTGTGTTGCATCTCCTGGGGGAGTTCTGTCACACAACATGGGTGTGCACATTTGTGTGCATGCATGTGAGTGCAAGTGGAGGCCAGAGGTCAACATCAGGCATCTCTTCCCTTATAGCCTCTCATGAAACCTGAAGCTCATCAGACTACACTGGCTGGCCAGCGAACTCCAAGGACCCACCTGCCTCCACATCCCCAACACTGAGATTACAAATACTTCTGTGCTTGGTTTTCACATGGGTGCTGAGGACCCAAATTCAGGTTCTCATGCTTGCAAAGCAAGCCCTGTACTACTACTGCTACGTTATTGTATAGTCCTACTGTAGTATTGAGACAAGGATTTGCCTGAGCCTGTTTTTGTCCCATCCACTGAGATTTCTGTGTCTCTCATGATGTAAGCAGCCTACTCAATTCTTTTGCCTCCTCCACTCTGTCTTGCTCTGCAGGTGACTATGTGACATCACTGCTATTCAGCACTGTGGGACTATGAGCATAGCCTATACTCTTCTCATGCACCCCTCTGCAGCCCCACTGCCTCCTCAACTGTCCCAACTGGTCCAGGGGTCCTCTCCTACAGTTCAAAGTCCACCTCTGCTCCTCAGAGGTCATCCATTCCTGGAATGTCCGCTCAGTGTTGCTGTGTCTTGACTCGCAGCGACAAACCAACTACTATGCTGTGTTCAACTGAGAGTCACTCTAACTTTTCTGTAAATGACCTCAACTCTCACTTTCTAAACTATATTTCTGAAATTTTTACCTGAGGGAGGGTCTTTACTCTGAAGCCCTGGTTGGCTTCAAACTCCTTGTTTAGACCAGACTGGTCTCTTACCTCACACATCTGCTGCCTAAGTATTGCTAGTAAAGATGTGACCACCACGCCCAGCTGTCTCCCCTCCATTTTCTTCTAAAAGTCTTCAGAGCTGGAAGCTGCACACAAGCCAGGCAAGCACTCTACCGATAAACTAATCCCCAGCCTTTTAAAATTACCCTTGCACACAGGAGGGGCTGTTTAATGGGCTCAGGACTTGAAAAAAAAAATAACAAAACTTTCTAAGGACCAGCTATAGAAAAAGGTGGCATATAGACAGGACTGCTGGGGAGAATGTTTCCAGGACCTTCAGATGGAAGTGGAGGCCTTAGCCCAGGAGACATGGAGTTGGATACTCCCTGGGAATCAAGGGGTGAACCCCAACAGACTGGGAATGTACCCCTAGCAGCTGTAGATGGGATCCAGGGGCAGAAAGGAAGAGCCCTGGGACATGTGTGTGGACTGCAGAAGGAAGGAGGTGCATTTCTGGAGCCTGGGAGTGAATCCCTGCTGGTGAGAGGGGGTACACACCTGGGGCTGGTAGGTAAACTCCTGAGTTTCATGGGTGGATCTCTGATACTTCAAGGTGGACATGGGAGTGACAGCATTTGGGGAGGCTTAGGGACTGAGGGAAGATGCAGAAAGGGAGGAAGGCTACTGGACAGGGTAGGATGGGGGTTTGAGGGCAAGACAACAAGCAGTTTATGAGCAAGAGTGGGGTTCTGTTTAACACGGGTGGAGAGGGTGGAGAAGGGGCATCTCCACCTTTAGGTCAAACTGGAGGACAAACTGCTTAGTCTGAGGGCTGCAGTGGGTTTAGGACTTGTTCTCAGCCTTGCCAATCTCCTGGCAAGGTCTCTTGGGGCCTGGCTCCATGGTCTGCCATCCTCTCTGCTCCTAGGAGAACATGAAGCAGTTGTGTGACGTGTTCTCTGTGGTCTCAGGGTTGCTGTTTCAACAGCAAACTTTGCTGATCCATTGCCACATCTCTTTGCTTAATCACGTTGTAGCCCTAATGGTCAATCTTTATAAATGTCACCTCCACCTAGAACGCAAACCTCCTCGGCAACTAGCAGGGTCAAGCTGGTCTGTTTTCATCCTTGGGTATGGGTCAGGTAGCTGTCCTCATTGTGCACCAGCAGAGCTTACATTCATAGGACCCCGGGTGTTTGGGCATAAAATACAGGTTTCTAGGGCCAGCTACTTTATGTGCTCAGATTGATGCTGGAAGACCACAGTGAAGAACCTAGGAGTGTTAGAGGACAGGGAGGATCTTGCTGAGACAGAATTGCAAACAGTTTGAGGGTAGATTGGACCACAAGGTGAATTCCAGGGCAATCTAGCTATAGTACCCTGTTTTAAATACTATCTCAACTCATTTTCCTTTCGTCCACACAGCACCAAAATACACAGTACAAGTATCGGGGTGAGCCATCAGCATTTGCACTCAGTGAACTACCTTTGATGTCAGAACAGGAACAACTGTAGGTGAGAAGACTGGGGAGGACTTTTACAGAATTCATCTTGTGTGCACACCCAGATGTGGAAGACTGAGGACAGCTGTGGGAGTTGATGTGTCCCCATGAGGGTTCTGGGGATCCAATTCAGGTCATGGGGGCTGGTGGCAAGCACCTTTACTAGCCGAGCCATCTCTTTGGCCCACATCTGAAGATGTTTCACACCAGCACCAAGGAGAAGCTGGCACGGAAGCTCAGCAGCAAAGAGCTATTTCACACATAGCTGTACTTCAGGTCAAGAAAAAGACAGTGAAGACCTTGCAAATAGTTAAGATGAACAAGTCTCTAAGAAAAGACATCTTCTCGGATGACCTGACATGAAGTTCTTAACCTAGGATGCCACCACTCCACTAAGACAAATGTTTGCTGCCAGTACAACTGGGACATGTCTATTGAGATGAAAGTGTCACTACGTAGACCAGGCTGCCTCACATCCCATATCCCCTAACATCTGCACCAATCCTCTGGCTTCAGCCTCTCCAGGCTCATGGTTCTAGGCATGAGTCTCCACTTCTGGTGCCTGAAACCTCTTTACAAAACAATGTAGGCAAAGTGGTCATCTTGCAGTGTTTATCAAGAAAACAAATCCATAAACTACGCCTGGAAAAGGAGGCCCTGAAGTGGGATGGCAGTGGGATGGAAAACTTTTGTGTGAGTTGAGAAAAATATCCAAATTACAATGTGCTTTCTGAACACCATAGGGGCTGTGTGAGTCTCCTTCAAATGCACTCGTCTGAGTGACCCTCCTGCATGAGCCAGCCTCCAGGTCCGAGAACAAATGAGACCCTGATTGTACAAACAAGACAGTCTACTACTCAGCAGCATCCTAGGTCCTAGCCCAGGAAGAAGTTAAGAGCAGCACAGGTCAAATGCCATCACCTCCACCGAAGGGCGAAGCGGTCCTGATGATGTCACCAAATACAGAGCATCGACAGAAATCCTTCCCTGACAGCTCATGACCCATGCCCTCCTTACTGAGATAAGCGGTTCCTCTCCTCAGTATTTCAGGTCTCTCTCTTCAATTCCCTACACACATAGCACTTTTACCTCAAAACAGTTAAGATTCCTTTAGAAGCAAACACACCTATGAACAAGTCATTTATGTGAGAAAAGCAGTACTCTCCATATTTACAAATTTTATTTTTTTAATCTCAAAAATACATATAAATGAAAACCTGCTCTCCAAATGCAGACAGGCCTTCTTGCCTATCATGTGGTATTATTTATATCACAAAACACTGTCATATGAAAATCAGCACATAGCTCTGAAACACACAGACTGTAAGTAAGGAGTATCTTTCTACTCACACAGACCCCAGGTGGGGAGTTCAGACACTAGGCTGTCCCTTACTGTCCACCCTTGGGAGGTAAATATGAATATGGTCAAAGATGAAGCGGAAATGTAGAAACTACACAACCTCCTTTAGACACATACGCACGTCCCTAGGCCATAGCAGGGTTCCTCCTTCAAAGTCAGTGTAGTGCGTTTCTCAAAAGGAGAAAAGAGAGGTAACATTTGAATAAAAATGCAAAGCTGAAGAAAAAAGACCAGATGATCAAACTATTATGTCTGTGTTTCCTGGAGAAATCAGGAGTCCTCACAGGATGCAGATCTACACCCCAGTGCATGATATGACACCAGCACCTGTTGGCAGAAGCCATGACCTCCCTACACAGTCATGTCTACACAGGTGTCGCAGAGTGTCTGTTTATCACAGACAGCCAATAGAGAGGTCACACGGTAAACTGTCACCTCAAAACACGAAATGCAAAATCAACTTCTATGACTCAAGAGCTGAACCAGGTCAAAGCTTTGGTATATGCTGGAGGTTGTTTTGGTGATAACCAAAGCTGACTAAGATTCTCTACTCTAGGGTTTGTCCCCAAAACAAAACTCCTGGTCCACGAAGCTCAAGAACTATATAAATAAGAAACTGTACAAAGAGAAGAAGCCACCATCCCCTTCCCAAGGGCTGTTTCCTATGCAGCAGTTCTGAAGGTACCCACCACAGCCACACACTTGGACCAAGCTCGACATGCTGTAATTGGTGGGACTATTCAGAAAACAAGCACCCACAGGCAGGCAGCTGCTGTGCCAAGTTCCAGAAAACATGAAGTGACAGTTCTCAGACTGCAACATAAGCTGGGCAGCAACAGAGGAAAGACTTAAGGCAAGGTGAGGCGCTGGAGTCACCCCCACCGCCTCCAGGAGAGACAGTTTCTAACAGTGGAGGCTGCTGCTCAGCTGCTAGCTGTCAGACACCATCTCCTCCTCCTCCTCCTCCTCATCTTCCTTCCTGTCAAGTTCAGAGGTGTCTGAAGACTCATGAAGCAAGACATACTCTCTGCTACTGAACCCAAATTTAAGTACGTCTTTTTCTTTCAGTTCATAGTATCTCTGTGGCTCAATACGCTTGTTGTTCAAGAATGTTCCATTGCCTGAGCCGAGGTCGATTATGTAGGGCTTCACCCTCCGACCAACTGTGCCATCAGCACGGGTGTGCTCCACAAGCCTAGAAGAGACCAAGGAGAGAAGCAGGTGAGCCGCATCCTACCAGAGACCAGCTATCGTCTTCTCTAGAGCTCTCTGCTACAGACCTAGATGTCAATGACCTGGCTTGAACAGTATTCTAATGAAAATTCTAGAACATAACAGGGGAAGTACTGCCCTGATAGGAAAATTCAGAGCACTTTACATAACCTAGGAGAAAAGGTAAAGCTGGCTGTGGCTGGTGGATGGAGATGGAGGGCCATAAAGTCCCGAGGCAGAACTCAAGATTCCTTGCTATTTACACATACACTTTCTCCAGTGCTGTACGTCTATTTTAACACCAACTCAAACGAAGGAAAAACAGGATTAGGAATTGAGAGCCAAGGACTGGATGTGGACAGAGCTTTGCTCTGAAGATTGCTTACTGCCAACAGTCCTGAGCTGCAGTTTTCTCACCTGTTAAATAAGGATGTTACCAGTGGCCCTGCTTTCCTCACGGGACTGAGTACCAAATGGTAAAGATGTATTCCCAAGCAGAAGATTCAGCTAGTGTATTTCTAACCTTCTGACTCTGGCTTTTATTTCTATTTGGTCCTCATACAGCCCTGGGGCCAGGTGGAAACAGGCCAAGACAGGAATCTTTTTAATTTCTTTTTCTTCCTTTCATCTATTTATTTATTTAATTATTTAGAGATGGGGTCATGGTACATAACCCACACCTAGAGGATATACCACCAATCCTGCTTGGCCTCTCAAGAACCGGGATTACAGGCCTGCACCACCATGCAATAGGGGGGCTAATATCTGGATTTCTGACGCCAAGTTCAAGCCTCTCATACAAATGTTCAGAGATCACCCACAGGTTGCTAAGACTTCAAGTACTCCTTCAGTCCAGCTCATTGGATACAAGGGGTAATGGACTCAGCAGCATCTCCTCACAGCCAGCCAGCCTTAGGAATACTAAGTGAGACACTCATTCATCTCTTTCCAGTTCTCCCTCTGGTCTACCTACCGGTACTGGAAGACTGCATGCTGCTTTGAGCAAGAGGGATGGTCGATGGGGATGTCCGCGATGCGTCGATGTCTACCCAGAAGGTACGCACTCTGCCGATGAATGTACATGACTGGAAGTATCTCATCATTTTTAAAAGGGTAGAGACGCCACCGTTTTTTGGGGATCCGGGCTTCTGGGGGCTCACTGTATTTAATAACCACACCCCGGAAGGTATTAGTGTCCTCAAGAAGTGCCCCAGAAAGTTCAAAGCTTGGTTTTTCTTTAACGGGCACCTCTTTGCTTCTGTTCCCAGCGGGGCGAGGGATCACCTCCTGAGACTCACTGCCAGCACTCTCATTCTGCTGGCGGTGCTCCCTGCGCCTGGCATTATGAAAGTCCCTCTCTTCTTCCTGGGCCTGCAGGTTCTGGCTGTCTCTATCCCGACCCTGCCCACTGACAGGCCTCTCATCAGAGCTCCTCCTTTGGCGGGAATGGCCCCGGTGGCGGTCTCGGTCGCTGTTCCGAGCTCTCCTGTGCTCCTGCTCTGACGGCTCCCGGTGCTGCCTCTCGTCCTCTCGTCCTCTCCGTGGATGGTCCTCACGTTCCTGAAATTCAGATGGGATTCAGTAAAGATGGCATCCACTCTGTGAACAAGCTGCAGGAGCTAGAGAGATGGCTCAGCAATTAAGAGCACTGATTGCTGTTCCAGAGGACCTATATTTAGTTCTCCTCATCCACAAAGCTGGTCACAACCATCTACAACTACAGTACCAAGAGGATCCAATGGCCTCTTGTGGCAAGTGTAGGCACTACATCTATGTGGTGTTCAGACATGCATGCAGGCAAAACACCTACATATGCAAAATAATCTCAAACAACAATACATCTGTGATCTCGATTCTGGTATTCAGAACAAATTCCTATCCACACAAGGCTATCAGTGTAGTTCTTTCCCCTGAAGAGCCATTTAGTCTCCATATCCCATGCTCTTCCTCAAGCCCACATCCAGAACCCTCAAAACAAGGAGAAGGAGAAAAGTTACCCGCAGGCAAACTCACAGGGCAGCAGGTGTAGAAAACAGAACAGTCACATTTAAGATACGTACAGGGAAAAGTTAACTTCCTCACAGGCCACAAGGAAACTTCAAAAGCTTCAACTTTAGCAATTACAGAGATGATTCAAACATCTATGGATAAACCTAAGAAACATGAATGCCTCAAGAAACCTACAAAAACACTACTTGGCAGTTTCCAAACTCCCAACGAAATGGAGACATACTGAAAATCAACCTGGCAGGAACAGCAATATACACAATAAGTAGGTCAATGAGCTCTCGGCAAAGCAGCACACACCTTTAATCCCAGCACTCGGGAGGCAGAGGCAGGCCTCTCTGAGTTCGAGGCCAGCCTGGTCTATAAAGAGAGTTCCAGAGAAGCCAGGGCTACACAGAGAAGCCTGTTTTGAAAGAATAACAACAATAGACCAATGAGAAATCAATTAGTAAGGCAATAGCTCCAAGGCCAAAGAATGGCAACAGCAGTTTCCAGCAAAAACCGACACTTAACCAGACCCTGAAAACAGAAAACATGTTTCTTCTAATAACCAGAGCACCAATGCTAAAAAAAAAAAAAAAAAAAAAAAAAAGGAATCTTCTCAGATTATCAATTCCTGTCAAGACTGAGAAGAGACTGTGCATTTCTGATCTCAGCCCTCAGGAGTCAGAGTTGGGTGGATCTCTAGGGGTTAGAGAGAAAAGGAGAATGAGAACCTGTCTCCAAAGGGACACACACACACACACACACACACACACACACACACTCTGCTGGTGGAGTTTGGTTGATGGTATATACCTTTAGTATCAGCACTCAGAAGGCTGAGGCAGGAGAATTATCAAGAGTTCTAGGCCTGCCTATACTACCAAGCCAAGTTTCAGGCCAACCTGGGCCTAATTAGCAGGAGATATCCTGTCTCAACTACAAAAATGTGAAATCATGCCATTTATTTCTCCTGGTTTATTAATAAACAAGTCATCAGGGCTCAGACGTTTTGTAGCGTACTTCAGAATTTTCTTCCTTTTAAGGCTAACATTCCATTAATATGCATACATACATAAGGGTAACAGGACTAGGATTCAGGGCTGGAAACAAACACGTAACTTCTAAATTTTATCCCCAGCCCTTTTTACTTTTGAGACAGCTTCTCAGTAATCATTTAAAACCAGTATTGAACTTGTGATCCTCCTGCCTCAGCCGAGAATTACATGCACACACCACCACACCTGCCTCTTGAGAGGTGTTACTAGGAAATCTGGAAGATAACTCTGTAGTTAAAAGCACTTTCCATTCTTCCAGAGGAGCTGGGTCAGTTCCTAGCACCCATGAGGAGGCTTGCAGCCATCCTTAACTCAAGTTCTAGAGAATCTGGTACCCTTTTCTGGACCCTGTGGGCACCAGACATACACACAGTGCATACACATACATGTAGACAGGGAAAGCACTCATACACATGCAAAAAAAATTATTTTTAAAAGATTTTTAGCCGGGCAGTGGTGGTGCACACCTTTAATCCCAGCAATTGGGAGGCAGAGGCAGGCGGATTTCTGAGTTTGAGGCCAGCCTGGTCTACAGAGTGAGTTCCAGGACAGCCAGGGCTACACAGAGAAACCCTGTCTCAAAAAAAACAAACAAAAAAAACCCAAAAAACAAAACAAACAAACAAACAAAAAAAGATTTTTAACACACACACACACACACACATACACACACACACACACACACACACACACACGTGTCTAACATTTACATAGAGATATAGATAAAGGAACCAGATATAGACAAAGGAACCAGAAGAGCTAAAACGAAAAAGAAAAAGAAATAAAGGAGGGTGGTGTGGAGAGATGGCTCAACAGTTAAGACCATTGACTGCTTTTTCCAGAGAACCTGGGTTCAATTCCTAGCACCCACATATCAGCTCACACCTGTCTGTAACTCCAGTTCTAGGGCTTCTGAAACCCTCACACCGATGCAGCAAAGAGGGCATTCAGTTTCGAGACTTACCATGGAAGTGTGGTATTAAGAGTCTGCATGGTATTGGCAGGACAGACATGTTTCTGACTGAGTTTCAGTGTGGGAGTAAAAAAATTGGGAGAAACATGGAAATGTACATCTCTCTGTATTATTTCTGACAAGAGTTATCAGAGTCAAATCAACAATTGCCTCCAAACGTTAAAATTTCAGGAATAACAGCTCCAAATACATATCTGGTTTTAGAAAAGCCCACTGAAGGGAGGAGGAAACATGTCCACACGTGGCTGCCAGCTTCTTTGTCTGGCAACAGCTCTGGATATGAGCTTCCCATCCAAGACGCCCGCCCACCCACTCACCTGCTTCACTTTGACCATGGAGTAGTGGGGGCTCCGGCTTCTCTTAGTCCGAGGAGACTTGCTTCTTCTCCCAGAGGACTTGCTTTTCTTTTTGGCTGGGGACCTATTCAGAGAATGCTACACAGGATTTTTACCTCAACGTCCCTTCCCCCAAATAAGTTAGCTTCCGGTATCAGGCTCCCCTACTAAACACATTTGTGAAATTAGTAGCCACGGCAGGCCTTCATTTTCAATAAACACTTCTCCCAACCACACACACCAACTGCCTGCTAAGCCTTCTCATTTAGATAACCTAATTCTCAAACCCCAAAGCCTTAGAAACCTTTCTATTCCCAGTCTGTCATTCTACTAATTGCCACTACTATCCAGGAAGTCAATCTAGCCCATTTTTTCCTAACACACTCCCTTCAACAACCACATTCAATCCCTCGGCAGGTTGCAGGGACCCGCCCTGTCCTCCATCCCAGCCTACAATGCTGCTCCATCACTCAATATGCTGGCTGTTTTGTTTTTGTTTTTTTTGTTGTTGTTGTTGTTGTTGTTGCTCAACTTCTAAGCAGAATTCCAATTTAGGTTCTGTGTATATACTTTTATCTGTCATAATCGTGTGTGTGTGTACACTCAGGATCCTCCTGACTCAGCGTCCCCATTGCTGGATTACAAGCATGCCCTACCACAGTGGGTTCTCCTGAATTGTTAAGACTCTTTTTTTTGTTGTTGTTTTGTTTTGTTTGTTTTTCGAGACAGGGTTTCCCTGTGTAGCCCTGGCTGTCCTGGAACTCACTCTGTAGACCAGGCTGGCCTCGAACTCCGAAATCTGCCTGCCTCTGCCTCCCAAGTGCTGGGATTAAAGGCGTGCACCACCACCGCCCGGCAATTGTTAAGACTCTTGACTCAAGAGAATGGATAAATCATACCGGCCAGGTGTCAGCTTAAGGATCACCTCTGTAAAGTCCTCTTTTCTCTATCCGACCTCTTGCTACCACATTACCGTTTTAATCTGTTTTTAATACTGACTGAAATTATCTATTTGTTATTTTTTCCTTCGCCAAGGTAAAAGCATCTCTCATCTTTGCCTTGTGGCCCAGTACCTCAATTGATCTTTAACCCACACTACGCACTCAGTAAATCGATGATATATGAAGGCATCGGTGAATGAGTGCTGCGAAGAAGTCTTGCCAAGACCCAATGTTAAACACTCTTTGTAAGCAGACGAGAGGAAAAGACATTCCCACCGTCCACTCGTGGGCAAGCAGGGCAATCTTATTTCAATTCAACAGGTGCTCTGCACTCCCGAGTCATTCGCATCACCCTGTCCCTGAGCCATCCCGTCTGCTGCTCACTCACCGGCTCGCTCCCCGGGCTCGGCTCCCGCGGTGACCGGCGCGGCCCGGTTCGGCGGCCGGCGGGGACGGGCTAGCGGCTGGAGCGTCGGGCCGGCGGTGCGCGATGGGTTCGGGACTCAGACGCTCCTGCTTCACCACCACGGTCGCCAAAGCATCGCCTGACCGGTGTCGCCGCCGACCGCTTCGCTCCCGTTCGTTTTTCCCCGCCTTCATCCTGCGGCCCGACCGAGGGTCACTTGCACGGTCCGTTGAGCTACTTGAGCCGAAGGAAGTGACGGACTGCTTTGTACTTCCGCTTCCTGGCAGGGCGCTATCCCAGAAGCCCTCACGGTGTCGGGCCCCCTAGTGGGCGGGGCCTCAGTGCTTGAGTTCACACGCTGGGGACGCCAGGGCTAGTGACACTGGGGTCCCCGCGGCTGGGAGGTGTGGCTGGAGTACTGAAAAGTCAGGGCCAGCCCTCGGGAGGCTGAGGCAGGAGAATGGCAGTAAATTCGAAGCCAGCTTGGGCAATTTATTGAGATGCTGTCTCAAATTTTGAAAAATTTGTAGCTTGGGTAGAGCTCAAAGCCCTGGATTCATCCTCAGCACCCTCAAAAAAATCAGAGTTAAAAGGGGAGGGGAGGTTGAGACTGTAGCTTAAATATAGAACGAACCTTTGCCTCACGTGTACGAAGCCCTGGATTAATCCCCAGGACCTTAAAAAATATTTCCCGCCCCCCCCCCCGAGACAGGATTTCTGTGTAGATCTGGCTGACCTAGAACTCACTCTGTAACTAGGCTGACCTTGAACTCACAAAGATCTTCCTGCCTCTGCCTCCCAAATGATATCACTAAAGGTGTGTGGTACCATCGCCTGACTTTAAAAAAGAAAAAAAGAAAGAAAGGAGAGAAAGAGAGAGGAGAGAGAGGAGAGAGAGAGGAAAGGGAAAGAGAGAGAGAGAAAGAGAGAGGGAGGGAGAGAGAGAGGGAGAGAGAGAGGGAGAGAGAGAGATCGATCTTATCTGGGAAAGCTAGTCCAGCTCTGTTCCTTGCGCGTTATTAGTAGTTACGAAACACAGACACGCACTCAACAATGTGAAATTCTTTATGGTTTCTTGAGATAGTGTCTCTATATAGCCTTGGCTGTCCTGGAACTCACAGAGATCCACCAGTCTCTGGTTTCCAAGTGCCAGTCGTCGCCAAGTACTCTATAGAGTCACTAGATGACTTCCGTTTTAAGCAAAGGTGGTCTGTCCATTTCATCATATCCCGAATCAGACCTAACACTAGAGCTCCAGTCTTGTTTACCAAGAAGCTTAGGGCTTGTGGAGAAAGCACAGTAGAACAAAACTTGCACGCGGCCGGCACTGCCTTCCTCCGAGGCCCCGCCCCATCCATGGGGCAAGGAGAGGAGGGGTTTCCATGGTGATCGCAAACAAGGCTCCACCCAGAGGGGCCGCTACGGAGTTGCTACCCCTACTGCCACCATGATACCCCCCGCAGACTCTCTGCTCAAATACGACACCCCGGTGTTGGTGAGCCGGAACACAGAAAAACGGAGCCCCAAGGTATGAACAGGTCTCAGGGGATGGGAGAACCTACAGACTCCCATGGGGAAAGACATCCCAGCTTTGAGGATCTCTGGAATTTCAGGAGACAGATTGCTGGAGCTGACAGCCAAGGGAATTAGGGACAGGGATGGAGGTTGGGAGAAGAGTACAAGATGCCTAGCTGTGACCCTAGAGGGCACATTTAAGATGAGAAAGAAGTCACATAGAAAAGATGGGACTTGTGGTAGTCAGGTCCAAGAACAAGTCTGGTAGTAACTTACCTGTGTCTAGAGAGTGAGAGCAGAAGTCTGACCACTCATTCTAGAGACAGCAGTTCAAACACAGGGTCAGAGCCAGATTTCTTTTAAGACCGCAGATGAGGGAAACAGGCTGGAAATGGTGAAGGCTATACAAGAGACCGGGGGAAATATGGAGGTACTGGACTGACTCACCCATCTCTTCTTAGGCTCGGCCACTCAAAGTCACCGTCCAGCAGCCTGGACCCTCTGGTACAGGCCCACAGCCACCCAAGGCCAAGCTGCCCTCAACTTCCTGTGTCCCAGATCCTACCAAACAGGCAGAAGAAATCTTGAATGCCATCCTGCCTCCAAGGTAGAGAGAGATGGGGGGGGGGGAGCCCACAGTGACTGGGGGAAGGTCTAAGCTCTTGGTCCCAGAACATAGGTGTCTCCCTGTGTTCTATCTTGGGTTTTCTCTCAGCTTTCTGGAGTTCATGAAGTCTCAGTATGGCTGGATGCTCACAGCCAGGCAGGTACCCTCTAAATCCATACCCTCCACGGTCTGAGCACTCTCATGACTTTAGGTCTGTTTTCAGTATGGGTCTTCTAGCCCAGACCCATTCCTCCTAAACTCCATTCCCAATACTCTGCTTCTTTGGTTCTTCCATCAAGATTCCCCATAGAGAGCCTGGTGTAATGGCATATGCTTAATCCCAGCACTCTGCAAGCCATAGGAGGATTGCCTCAAAGTCAAAGCCAGCCTGGACTACAAAGGGAGTACTAGGCTGGCTAGTGCTACATAGAAAAGTTGTGTCTCAAAAGCGCATAAATATCCAATAAGGCAAGGTCCAGTGAGCTCACCTTTAATACCAGAACTCAGGAAGCAGTGGCAAGACGATAAGAGTTTGAAGCTAGCTTGGGCTACACAGCGTAACTAGAACTCTTAAAAACCTCCACCGAATGGACTTATTTTTGTCCACAACAATGAGAACCACAGAGAACCTGTGAACTTCTCCAGAGATGGAGGCCAATAGAGAGAGGTGTCATTCATTAGTGGATTCTCTCGAACGTCTCTTGCCATTCTGCCCACAAGTCCGTCATTGCAGAATTCTCCAGCACAGAATTCATTAGGGTCAGCCATTGCAAACACAGCCCTTTAAGAACCTCCATACTCCCAACATACACAAATGCTTCCTAGTGGCTTGCATGTGGTTTATGGTGTTTTGTGTCTCCACCATAAGCCAGTGTGGGGAATTCCCACGGCATCTTCTATTTGAATCAAGCAGCACAACCACACATCTGTCCTCAACATGCTAGGCAGGTATGACCTGGAACAGAGGGTTGTAGTCTGTGGAGAACAGAGACTGCCCATCTACCCAGTGTTAAGGTAGGTGTCCTGGGAGGCTGCATAGTGGGTAGGCGTGGCTTGGGAAAGAGCTGGGAAGTGGGGGTGGCATGATGGCTGTGCTGCCCACCTCCACCCCCTGCTCCTGCCCAGGCAGAGTCTCAAGGACCCTCTGCTCAGAGCTGGTGGCTTGTATCTGTGTCACAGAGAATGGGTAGAAGACACACAGCTGTGGATCCAGCAGGTGTCCAGCACACCCAGCACCCGAATGGATGTGGTGCATCTCCAGGAGCAGCTGGACCTGAAGCTGCAGCAGAGGCAGGCCAGGGAGACGGGCATCTGCCCTGTACGCAGGGAACTGTACTCCCAGTGTTTTGGTGAGTAGCCTTGGTGGTGTGAGTGCCACACACTCTCTGTCTCCTTCTAGCACAAACCAGGCCCTGGTTACCCCAAACTACCCCACCTCCCACGTCAGAAATCATCACTTCTCCTTCTGGCTGATTCCCCCTCCAACTGCTAAGTATATTCCCTTCTGTTCCCAGCCTCGCCTCTCCACCTCAGCTACTCCTCCGTCATTGATGGTCACTGGGGTGCCTGATCCCTCACAGGGGTTTGATTCTTTCTTTCTTTCTTTCTTTCTTTCTTTCTTTCTTTCTTTCTTTCTTTCTTTCTTAAAGCATAGAATCATTTTATTCAGATCTTAACAGTACTTCAAATTCCCTAGAATTAAAGACATTAAAGTGAAAGTCCATGTTCTAGATTGCTTTTTTTTTTTTTTTTTTTTTTTTTTTTTTGGTTTTTGGTTTTTTGGAGACAGGGTTTCTCTGTATAGTCCTGGCTGTCCTGGAACTCACTCTGTAGACCAGGCTGGCCTCGAACTCAGAAATCCGCCTGCTTCTGCCTCCCAAGTGCTGGGATTAAAGGCATGCGCCACCACTGCCCAGCTGGTTCTTTCTTAGACTTAGTTTGGATGTGGCTGTGCATGTGCACACATGCATGTTTTTATGAGGGTACATGTGCATGGCATCAGTGTGGAGATCAGAAGACAACTTGCAAGAATCGAGTCTTTCCTTCTACCAGGCTGATTCTAGGGAGTGGCTCAGGCCGTCAGGCTTGGTGGCATGTGCCTTTACCCACTGAACCATCTCACTGCTCCCTCCCCTTGATAGGTATTTGGAGTAAGGTAAGAACTTCCATTTTAGCCAGATGTGGTGGCATATGCCTTTAATACAGGCCCTCGGGAGGTAGAGGCAGGCAGATCTCTCTAGCTTGAGGTCAATCTGATCTATATAATGAGTTCCAGGCTAGCCAAGGCTACCTCTTAAAAAAAGACTTTTAACTTTGAGTCTTTGGTTTTCTTCCAAAGATTTCCATAATAAGTCTATGCTAATATTTTTTGTTTTTTGAGACAGGGTTTCTCTGTGTAGCCCTGGCTGTCCTGGAACTCACTCTGTAGACCAGGCTGATCTTAAACTCAGAAATTAGCCTGTCTCTGCCTCCCAAGTGCTGGGATTAAAGGCATGTGCCACCACTGCCCAGTGCTAATATTTTTTTAAGACAGGATCTCAATATGTAGCCCTGGCTGTCCTGGCCTCACAGAGATCTGCCTGACTCTGCTTTCTGAGTACTAGGGTTAAAGGTATGTGTCATTACTCCTGGCATTACTTTTTTTTTTTTTTTTTTTTTTTTTTGGTTTTTCGAGACAGGGTTTCTCTATGTAGTTCTGGCTGTCCTGGAACTCACTCTGTAGACCAGGCTGGCCTCGAACTCAGAAATCAGCCTGCCTCTGCCTCCCAAGTGCTGGGATTAAAGGTGTGCACCACCACCGCCCGGCTACATTTTTTTAGAAAAAGATTTATTTATTCATTTTATGTATATGAATATGTTGTAGCTGTCTTAGACACATCAGAAGAGGGCATCAGATAATATTAGAGATGGTTGTGAGTCACCATGTGGTTGCTGGGAATTGAACTCTGGACCTCTGGAAGAGCAGCCAGTGCTCTTAATCAATGAGCCATCACTCCAGGCCTGGTAGTATTTTTTTTTAAAACTTATTTTTCAATGCCAAATGCCATCCCTGGAAACATATACACACAACTAACATAATATGGACTGAGCAGGTTATATTTATCTATTTA